TTTTAACTTCTCTAGTTCACTATAATCATCTCCAGTTAGCACTATATCATCCACATACACAATTAAGATGGCCATTTTCCCTTCCTTTGAATGTTTGTAGAACATAGTGTGATCAGCTTGACTTTGAGTGTATCCATAACGCTTTATCACCTTGCCAAAGCGCTCAAATCAAGCTCTAGGGGACTGCTTGAGTCCGTATAAGGACTTCTTCAGTTTGCACACTTTCCCAGCTCCAAAACTTTCTTCGAAACCTGGTGGCAGACTCATGAACACTTCCTCCTCTAGGTCTCCATTAAGGAAGGCATTTTTAACGTCCAATTGATGTAAGGGCCAATTGGAATTTACTACAAGGGACAACAAAACTCTAATTGAGTTTATTTTAGCTACCGGGGGAAAAGTCTCTTAGTAGTCTATCCCATAGGTTTGAGTGAAATCTTTTGCCACAAGCCTAGCTTTATATCTCTCAACACTTCCATCAGCTTTACTCTTTATTTTGAAGACCCATTTAGACCCAACAATTTTTTTTCCTCTCGGTAATTCTACAATCTCCCAAGAACCATTCTTCCTCAAGGCATTCATTTCCTCAAACACTGCCAATTGCCAACTCGGTTCATCTAGTGCTTCCTGAATGTTTCTAGGCACCACAAGGTTTGAAATATTTGTAGTGAATGCTCTATAGCTGTTAGAAATTGTAGGAAATATATTTTGCAATAGGATGTTTAGTGCACGTGCGGGTTCCTTTTCTAAGGGCAATGGGAAGATCAGGGTCGAGGACCTGTGTAGGAATTTCTGGAGCTAATTCTAAACAAGGTTCGGGTGTAGATATTTCAGAATTAGGATTAGAGTGTAATGGCAAAGAATGAGTAGGAGTAGACGAAGAATTACCTGAGTCACTTGGAAGGCCTTCGCCCAGGGCTTCCGTTTGACCATGTGTTAGGATGATTAATTGGTCTTTACTTCTTCCAGGGATATTCTTCCTTGTATAAACCACAAGCTCAAGATTGCTACGATTTTTTTCCATTCATAGTATTTCTTTTTCTAATAGACCAGTGATATCAGATTCGGATTCAGTGGGTTTAGTTTCCTTATTTTCTTTTTCCATTGATTTAAGAGAGATATCAAGAATCGGATTAGGTAAGGGTTCAACAATTTTCCAAAAATTTGGTTCAACTAAGTTCTCCCCCTGAAGTAAATTTTTGGTAAAATATGGGGTTTTTTCCATAAAAGAGACATCCATAGTTGTGTAAAAATGTTTTGTAAGGGGATTAAAAAACTTGTAATCCTTTTTATTAGGAGTATATCCTACAAAAACACATTTTTCTGCTCTTGGGTCTAACTTAAGACCGTGACCTTTTTGGAAGGTGAACATATGCAGTGCAACCAAATATTTTCAAAGGTAATTCAGAATTAATTCGAGAATCTGGAAATACCTTTTTGAGACACTCTAGCGGGGTAGTGTACTGTAAAACTTTTGTGGGCATCCTGTTGATTAGATATGATGCAGTTAGTATGGCATCCCCCCATAAGTATTTTGGAATATTCATGTAAAACATCATAGCCCGGGCTACTTCTAACAGGTGCTTATTTTTGCGTTCAGCTATTCCGTTTTGTTCAGGAGTATCTGAACATGATGATTGATGTAAAATACCTTTTTCTTTTAAGAAGGTTTCCAAAACTTTATTAAAATATTCCGTTCCATTATCAGATCTCAAAATGTTGATTTTTGTTTGAAATTGATTTTCAATCATTGTGTAAAAATCTTTAAAAATTCTTTCAACTTCAGATTTTTCCCGCATTAAATATACCCAGCAAAGACGAGTATGGTCGTTGATAAAGGTTACAAACCATTTTTTTCCTGAAACAGTGGTTACCTTTGAGGGTCCCCAAACATCGCTATGAAAAAGATAAATTGTTTTGAAGCTTGATAAGGTTTTTGGATATAAGGTTTACGTTGGCTCTTTGCCAATAAACAGCTTTCACATTGAAATGATAAAGGATTAACCTTTTTAAATAACACTGGAAACAAATGTTTTAAATAAGAAAAACTAGGATGGCCCAATTTGCAATGCCAAACCATTATTTGATCACGAACAGAAAGAGAACTAATACTACTAAGTCCTTGAGCAATTTTATTACTAGGTAAATTATCCTCGAAATAGTAGAGACCATTGATCATCCTAGCACTGCCAATCGTTTTCCCCAAGCTCTGATCCTGAAAAATACAATGAGATTAATAGAAGGTGACAACAATTAGAATCTCTAGATAATATGCTGACAGATAACAAATTACAAGTAAGTTTAGGAACATAGAGAACATATTTAAGATCTATTCCCTCAGAAATTTTTATCAGACCCTTTCCTGCAATTGGTGAGAAATTACCATCTGCTATCCTAACCTTTTTATTTCTAGGACACGGTGAATATGATTCAAATAGATTTGAAGAGTTGGTCATATGGTCGGATGCTCCAGAATCGATTATTCATGGAGCAAATGATTTGAAATGACAAGCTAGAGCATTTAATTCATTACCTGTGTATGCCACAGATGCACTAGGAGTACCAGATATCGAGTTGGATTTCAGCAATGTAAGAAGTTGCTCCATTTGCTCCTTAGTGAAAGGGTTGGTTTCTGCCTCATTAGCAGCAGTGAGGGCATGTCTTGGTTTGTCACCTGTTTTACCTTTCCAATTCGCAGGTTTCCCATGGATTCTCCAACAAGTTTCACGGGTATGGCGAGGCCTGTTGCAAAAATCACACAAAACACGTGATTTTTCATCAGATTTGCGTTGATATGTGGTGGCTTTGTTATAGCCTCCACCCGTGGTTACCAAGGCTGAACCTTCAATAGCATCTCCAGGTCCCTTCTTACCCAGCATCACATTCCTCCGACTCTCCTCTCTTCTAACTTCTAAAAAGACTTCACCAATTGAAGGCAGGGGTTGTCTTCCAATGATTCTCCCCCTTACCTCATCAAACTCGACATTGAGGCCAGCCAAGAATTTGAAGATACGATTATCCTCCACAGTCTTCTTATGATGGTGTCCATCCTCGGCATATTTCCACTCATAGGTATTGAAGATGTCCAGCCTTGCCAAATTCGCTTCAAAGAATTGAAGTATTTTGTGACGTTGTCCTCCCCTTGCCGAATTTCACCGAGTTTGAGAGTCAATTCAAAGATCTGAGATTGATTCCCTAAATCAGAATACATCTGATTTACATTTTCCCAAAGCTCTTGTGCCGTTGGATAGCACATGTAATTAGAGCTAATGTCTTCTTCCATAGAGTTCACGAGCCATGTCATCACCATGGAATTCTCAGCGTCCCATGTAGCATAGTCCGGATCATCCTCTGCAAAAGCCGTCTTGTCACTCGTCAGGTAGCCCATCTTCCACGTCCTCTGATGTACATCCGAACTGATTGAGACAATCTCAGAAAATTGTCACCATTCAATCGAATTGTGGTGATTTGGACAGAATGGGATTCCGAGGTGGTTGTACTGATTTTTGTGGAATCAGTGGTGGTGGGATTGTTCGAAGATGATTGAGGAACAATAGGGGATTCATTTGAAATGTCTGACATGGTGATAGAAAGAACAGAGGATCGAATAAGAGGAAGAAGAAGAAGAAGGATTACAACAAGCAATTTGCCCGCTCTGATACCAACTTGAAAAATGAGTTTTTCAGGGAATAATTGATTTCTTTCATTGATCATATATTTATAGGATTTACACACCATATACAAGTCCTTCGAATCAGGAAAGTAATCACTGATTTAAGGAATATAGCTAATTCTAGGTAGAGAATAACTTTTGACAGCTACTTTCCTAAAATACAAAGATTAACAACTAATTAGCCCGCTCTGATACCAACTTGAAAAATGAGTTTTTCAGGGAATAATTGATTTCTTTCATTGATCATATATTTATAGGATTTACACACCATATACAAGTCCTTCGAATCAGGAAAGTAATCACTGATTTAAGGAATATAGCTAATTCTAGGTAGAGAATAACTTTTGACAGCTACTTTCCTAAAATACAAAGATTGACAACTAATTAGCTAATTTACAGCTTTACAAGGATTGTTTCCAAAACAATTTCGATTTTCCAACAGATTTCCACTCATAAGTGTTGAAGAGATCTAGATTTTGCCAGATACGCTTCAACGAATTAAAGTATTTGGTAACACTGTCCTCTCCTTGCCGTATCTCGCCAATTTTGAGAGTCAATTCAAATATCTGTGATTGATTCTCCAAATCAGAGTACATCTAGTTCACGTTTTCCCACAGCTCTTTTGCCGTTGAATAGCACATATAGTTAGAGCTAATATCCTCTTTCATAGAATTCACGAGCCACGTCATAAACATGGAATTTTGAGCATCCCATGTAGCATGGGCTGGATCCGTCTCTGGTGGAGCCTTCGTTTCACTTGTCAAATATCCCATCATTCCACGTCCTCTGATATACATCCGAATGGCTTGTGACCAGCGCAGGAAATTATCACCATTCAAGCGAATGGTTGTAATTTGAACAGAGTGGGAGTCTGTGCTAGTCTTGATAGGATCGGCTGTTTTTTGGGAGGAAAGAGTTTTTGGAATGGTAGTGGACTCGGACTCGGTCGATACATCAGACATGGTGAATTGAGGGTAGCAGAGAACGAACAAGAGAAGAAAGGAAGATTTTTGGCAAGCCAAAAACATGCTCTGATACCAACTCGAAAAAGTAGAATATTGGGGAATAATGATTTCATTCATTGAGTAGACTTTTATACAATTATAGCCTAACTAAAAAAGGAAACAATATCACTAATTCTAGGAAGTAAATAACTGCTAATAATACTTTCCTAAATATACAGATTTGACACTAAAATTAACAATACTTTCCTTAATTATCTGGATTTTTGTTATCTACAACATCTTGTTCAGGCTGCACTTTGAAGTATAAAATGTAATAGGCTATAAAGTTTTATCCAACTTGATACAAGCTTGGATCCATTTGGTAGGTTGGCTCAAAGTCTGAGGCAGGTGGAATAGCAAAGGCTGGAGCAAAAATGGTGATGGCAGTTTCCTGCGCCAAGGTTGGTTTTCTTCCACCCAACCCACCCAGAAATTTTAGTGTTAATTCCTTTTCTTATTAAATGTTTTAACCAAAAAGTATGTTTCCCTTCTAAGTTCTAATTTATGTTGAATACAGTTGCCCACTGAAATTTGATAGTAGTCGCTTTCTGTTCCTTCGCTTTGCAAGTGTTGCTGATAAAGTTTCAGTGCTTTTGGGTTAACTCTTCATTTCTAGTTTTGGAATTATCGTTCTTGGTTCATAATGACCAATAAGCAATGCTGTGCAGGTTCCAAAAGTTACGATAATGGTTGGTGGAAGCTTTGGTGCTGGGAACTATGCAATGTGCGGTCGTGCATACAGTCCCAATTTCTTGTTCCTCTGGCCAAACGCCCGGATATCTGTAATGGGTGGGGCTCAGGTAACCATTTAATTCAGCAAATACTTGCTTATGACCAAGATATCAATAAATTATTACTTGCCTCTGAGGTAAGTATACAAGCATAGTTGAGGCTCCATATCTTCCTTTTCTGGTTGCTTGGTGATTGGTATATTAATTTTCATTTCCCTTGAGACTTTCCGCTTAGGTGGTCCTTGTCCACCATAGCAAATTGGTGAAAGAAAAGTCTACACTTTGCCATCCTTGACAAAAACAGTTGGATACAAATTCACATCGGGTTCTGATAAACTGCTTAAGAACCTCGTCTTTTTTTTCTTTTTGGGTTATGTACCCAATGTATGGTTTCTTTGGGTTCCTTACTATTGATATTTGATCATTGTACCTTCCTGAGCTGTTTCCAGTCCTAACTATACACAGTGCAAAATGCTCCATACCTGCCACTTTCAGTTTGTTTTAAAGATGGATTAAGTGCTAACATGTTTTTATGGCCACATTCAGGCTGCTGGTGTTCTGACTCAAATAGAGAAGAGCAACAAGAAAAAGAAAGGGATTCAGGTAGACTTTCCCGGCCTTCGGGGAACATATTTTGGGGCTATAGTTTTTGGCCTTTTGCAGACATCTGACTGATGATGATCTTCCATGTGGTTTGTGTTTATTTGTGGACATATTGCAGTGGGACAAGGAAGAAGAGGAAAAATTCAAGGCAAAGGTAGTAGATGCATATGAGAGAGAAGGAAATCCTTATTACTCAACAGCAAGGCTGTGGGACGATGGGATTATTGATCCAGCTGAAACAAGAAAGGTTATAGGTCTTTCCATCTCAGCTTCCTTAAATCGCGCCCCTGAAGATACCAAGTTTGGTGTATTCAGGATGTAAATTTATGTAATTACTATTTACTCCAATTATGGTTGTAGATACTTTTTATGCCAAAATCTATGCTGCCCATTTATTGGAAAGAAAAATAAACAAGTTGTTCCAAGTGGTAAAATAGAAATAAAAACGTGTTTTGAAATGTTTTTCCCTACTAAATAATATAAATAATTTTAGTGGTGGAAGAAGAGAAACAAACAAAAGAGGCTATGTGACATAAATTATGCATTAGCAAAAAAAAAAAAAAAAAAGTGACCTAAATTATGGCTTCCACAATTGCCAGATGAAAGGGAAATTCCATTTCCAAATTCCAACACAAACTTTACTCAAACAAAGTAACAAACAGTGATGCTCTCTGAATTTTAACGTAATTTTTAGTTTACCTCATGAACTTTAAAAACACTCATTTTTCTCTATGAATTTTAAATTATTTTCACATAACTTTTTATGTAGCAATTTCTATTAAAAATAGATAGAAAGAGAATAATGCAGTCATGTAGTATTTCTATTAAAAAGAAACAGATAAAAATTATAATACTACACTTAACATCTTTCTTTTCTGTTTGATTTTAACATAAATTAAAATAAAAGAAATTAAGTGAGAATAATATAAAATTTAAGGAGTGAAATGGAAATTTTTAAAATTAAAGAAACAGAAAATGACTCAAAATGTAAGGGCACCAGTGAGAAAAAAAACCAACAAAAATTTAGGCTCAATAGGCTGTAGGCCTCTCATCGTTTGGAAACACCTTTTGACAGGCAATTTTTTGGTTAGGAAACAGTAAATATTATTTTAATAGAATAATTATTTTGTCCAAAAGTCGCTATGAGCGCCCGTGGCCTAATGGATAAGGTGTCTGACTTCTAATCAGACGATTGTGGGTTCGAGTCCCACCGGGCGTGCCACTACTAAAATTTTTCTCATTTGCTGAAATAATTTATATTTCTTGCACATTTTGATTTTTCTTTATTCTTGATATTTATAAATAAATAAAAAATTTATGGGCTTATTTGATTGTATTTTTGAGTTATAGGGCTTGTTCTTTTGGAGTGTGACTTGAGTGTAATTTTTGAGTTGAATTTGAGTTGTAACTTGAGTTTGTATTTAGAGAGATAAGAATCTTTTTTTGAGTTTGTGTTTGAATGAGTCAAAACTTAAATTTGTATTTAGATAGTATTTTAATAAAAACTCAATAGTGATGAAAAATTTTAATAGGGTATATAGGTGGGGTTTTATTTGTCTTTTCGTTGTCAACGCATAGAAAAAAATCATCTCAATCAGGATTAAAACGAAAAAATTATAGCATTTTTAAGAATAGAAAAAATATTGTTCATTAATTCGAGTTTGAGTTTCTGAACTCGAGTTAAATGAGACACTTGAACTCGAGTTTTAGTTGAGTTCAAACTCGAGTTTAAACTTAAAAGAACATGAACTTGAATAAAGTTAGAACCTAAGTTGCTTTTTTTTTTGAATTTTTTAGGCAGCCGAACACACCCATAGTGATTCACTGATTTGAGTGTATATCTTAAGTTGAATTTGATTTATAATTTGAGTTGAAGTTGTAACTTGAGTTTGTGTTTGGATGTGCATATTTGAGTTATGATTTGAATTAATAATCTGTTTGAGTTTGTGTTTGAGTAAGTCAAAACTTGAATTTGTATTTAGATAGTATTTTAATAAAAACTCAATGGTGATGAAAAATTTTAATAGGGTATAAGAGTGATGTTTTATTCGTCTATTCGTTGTGAACGTATAAAAAAATCATCTCAATTAAAATTAAAATAAAAAAGTTATGACATTTTTAAGAATAAAAAAAATATTATTCATTAATTTGAGTTTGCGTTTAAAAACTTGAGTCGAAAAAAACTTAAATTTTAGTCTCAAATTCAAATTAAAACTCAAATTAAAACTCAAATTTAAACTTAAATTTTATATACAAACATGATATTAAATAAAATTATTGTAACTTAAATTTAAACGTTTTTTTGAGTTTTACTCCAAAAAAAAAAAAAAAAAAAAAAAAAAAAAAAAAAAAAAAAAAAAACAAACAAACAAACCCTCTCTCTCTACAACAGAATTATTCTCTTCGCCTTCTTCTTCTACTTCCGTTCTCCATTACTGTCTCTTTGCCATGGCTGCCCCTGCATACTACCATCCAACTCCACTCTCTTCTTCCCGCGCGTGCTCTCGCTCCCCTCACTCTCCGACCTTCTCTTCTGAACTCATCGCCGCTTCTCTCGCTTCATTTCCTCTCAATTTGCAGTTACGAAAGCGCCTCGAGATTCGCAATCGAAATACCCTCCGTACTCTCTGCGTTCGTGACACCAAAGGTAATCTTACTACTTATACTCTTATATGGTATGATCTTTTTTTTTCCTTTTTCTTTTTGGAAGAATCCGATTTTGGGTTTTTAATCTGTAAATCGACTTTGTCACCTAGAAAAAAAAATGGGATCTTGATACTGGTATCACTGTTATTGCTGTTGATGATATTTAGTCAAGTGAAACATGATATGGAATAACATTTATTGGTAAATCGGTGGGGGTTAAAAGGGTTAGGAAATGGGAGTATTGGAAATGTAAGATAAGTTTTTTCTTTTTTTTTCTTTAGTCCTAATCTTGCTTCTGCATTGGATCCCAAAGAGTAAAAGTAAATCTAGGTCAAATATATTCGCTTGATTATTCTTATTTTAATTTGGTGATTCAAAACCCCATGTTATTGACTTATTGCACTTGATTTGTGTGTATGTGTTTTTTTATTTTATTATTTTATTTTTTTTTGGGTTTAGGCTATGCTGTTCTACAGTGTGTTGAACCCTACCCGATGGAAAGCACTTGATTTGTGACTTAGGAGATACCCAAATGGTGTGTGTGTGTGTTTTTTTGTTTGGGGCGGGGGTGAGAACATTTGAGGAAGCTAGCTTTCTCACCGTGTCTTTTGCAAGAATAATTTTAGTATCCTAGTGGACATCTTACTTTTAGACCTAAGCTTCTGTTAATGTTGCGGTTTAATCTCGAATAAGAAGATGGGGTTTTCGTTTGGATATGATGGAGGTGCGCATAGACAATATACTTAAATGCGGTGCTGGGCAATGGGCATCAATGAATTTTAATTCATTACACGGTTGCATAGAGTCAATTTGAATTTTAGTTGGAAAGAAACTGGTCATGGAGGGTTGATTTAGTGGACTAGTGAAGGATGTTGAAAGGAAGTTGTTGGATATCTCATTCGCACACATTTTTTCTTTCTTTCTTGAACCTATAGTGAGTTACAGATAGAGTTGGAAAGGGGAAAATATTTGATGATTCCATCATTTACATGATTGAGTTGCGAAAGCTGAAAACTTATGAGAGAGACTCTTTCCAGTTGCTCGAAAACAATTAGGAGATTCTCTAGAAGAAATAGGGATTTTGCTTTTGGCACTACATGCTATAGGTTGGAACTTAGGGAAACCGGGTTTCTCACTATTAACTTTTGGTTTCTGTACTCTAAGGAATAGCTGAAGTGAGTGGGCGTAGGGCCTTTTGACGTGAGTGGACTTGGGTTAATGATAGACGTGTGTTCTACTGCTATCGACTACTGTTTGCCACTGCTCTAATAATAAGAGAGGAACATTATCTGTTGGACGGTCAAAGATTAGAGTCCCTTTCACTTATTGTTTTTTCCTTGTTGCTTCTTTGCTATCACATTGCTGCATTGCTCGCTAATCTTTAACAAGTTTTAAGATTTTAAGTAGAGATTATAATATCTATATTGACAATAGATAACTCTCTATTTATCATGCTTTATGGTATATCTGCAGCTCCAGTAGTAACCAAAGACTCGTGGGAAAAGTCAGTTCTAAACAGCAAAACTCCTGTCCTAGTTGAATTTTACGCAAGTTGGTGTGGACCATGTAGGATGGTCCACCGAGTAATTGACGAGATTGCTGTAGAATATGCTGGGAGGCTTAAATGCTTTGTACTCAACACCGATGATGACCCGCAAATTGCTGAGGACTACGAGATTAAGGGCGTTCCAGTGGTTTTTCTCTTTAAGAATGGGGAGAAACGTGAGACCGTGATTGGGACCATGCCAAAGGAGTTCTATGTGGCTGCCATTGAGAGGGTCCTGAAGTTATAAGCACAGTTCTTTGCATAATCAGAACCTCGCAGTTAAGTCAACATTTTTCTCCGGCATTATATTGTCAGGATTTTGTTCAAGAATCTTCGACTAGAACTATAATGGGATGTACATATTTTAGATGTATGCCTACTTTTGTTGCCGCCATAAGATACTTTCTTCGTTATACCAAAATGGTCTTGCCCTTCCTCTTACACCTTTTCTGGCGTGTGCTTATATCCTTTACTATTGTTCCCTGGTTTAAACAGCATTTTGCTATTCTAGTGCAAGTTACTGAGTTTGCATTTTGGCCAAATTGGTTTATTTCCATATCTTTAGTTGTGCCTGGCAGAAAAGTTATGAGCATTTTCCTGAGTTCGGCTCTTAGTCTTACTCTTTTTTTTTTTGTTGGAAAGGCAATAGCATAACTTCATTAAAAAATTACTAAAGAGCTTAACATACAGGACATTACTAGAGCCAAAAGAATGGGTGTTACTCACAAGACTAGACAATACAAACGCGTCCTTTACCCAATAACGGAGAGAACTTCTCTAATAAGTGGCACTATAATAGGGTTCGGCCACTTCGAAACGACTTCAGATGAACCTCATTTCAGTCCCAAAATGGACTACATAACTCAAATTTAGAGCTGTGGGGACACCACTTTCTAGCCAAGACATAACGCCAGTAGATGGGAAAATCATCACCGTTATTACAACACAAATACAAACATAACATAAAAACAGAAAAAACTCTACAAAGATCCGAAGAGATCAAATCAATAAAATCGAGCCCCTCAACGCCGGAGGTGTGTGAATCACAGTAGGAGTGGCGCTGGAGAAAAGCTCTTGAAACGGCGACAAAAGCACTGGAGACATGGCAGTGTGTGGGTCCAACAAGCGGCAAATGTCACACGCTCCGGTCTACCTTCCTCGCCTCCCTTCCACGATCTAGTTCCTAGAGTTTCAACAAAATCCTGCAGCGAGTGCGTCCTAGATCTAAGGTAGAAGACCAGAAATTACTTCCCCTTGAACAGTTGCATTTCGATGACTATCCACACTTCTGTCGCACGAACTCGACGCATGTGACCTTTGTGATCTCTCCGACGAACTTTGAAGGCCATCAGCTTGACGAAAAGCCAGACCATTGACCTCAGAAAGCTCCTCTCCTAAGCTTGTTGCAGAGCACATCTCTCTAACTTTGCTTCTCTAGAACTCTTTCCGAGTCAAAAAGCATTTCTCTTACTCTTCCTTTTTTTCATAATAAATTCTTACTCTTTAGCAATTTATCTGGAAAAAAAAAGAAAAAACTCTTACTCTTAGGTCCCATTCGTTTCACAATTCGAATCACAACTTAAATTTTTTTGCTAAAGTATTTTCTTTTATAAAATTTCAAATTTAATGTTTTTACGCTGTAATATTTTTTCTCACATAAATTCAATTTTTAACTCGAGTTCTCAACTCGAACCCGAATGGCTTTTAATCTTAGCTCTTACTTGAGTTTGGGGCAAATTACACAAGTGAGTTTCACTTTTTTTTTTGGGTGGGTTTTAATACCAAGCCCTACATGAAATTGAAAGTAATTGATAATGCAATGTGTTTGTTTATCTCGTTCATTTCACCGATTTAAATTTTCAATTTGAGTTGAAATGTGACTTTATGATAGAGCTTTTAATTGTAGTAAAAGAAAGTTAGATATAATTTTTTATGAAAGCTTTTAACTGTAGTAAAATTGAAATTAAAAACTTAAATCAGTAAGAATGAATGAGAAAGTTTACTCCCATATTTGCGTTGTGCCTTTGATTAAAGCTTTGTTCCTTTAAAGGGTATGAAAATATTGTTGGGAATAGTGTCCTAGAAGCATGAGATGTAATAGAATATTTATTATTTAATTAATAAAATAATGTATTCTTAATTTTATGTGCATATATTTATGAATATTTTATGAATATCAAATGAAAATTCTGTGATTATTTATGTAACCTCAAATATAGTATATAAGTGTTATATACGAGAGGATAATGTTTAAGGATAATAATAAAAAACATCGTTCATAATGAATTTAATTAAAATTTAGAATCTTTAATTAAAACATTATTAATACATGTCATTCCCATTTAGAATGAAACGGTGCTATCCGCACTGTTAATATGGTGAGATATTGAATGAGTGTATTTCGCATAATGAGATTGTGTGGAACAGGGACACAAATACAATATGAATTTCTAATAATTTCCGTTAAGCATAGAAATTCTAATTGAGTCTACCGATGGTCATATATAGAATGATCTTAATCCTGAGTTCTTAACAAACTCCTATTTATGGATTTGTGTCTTTTGATTTACTCGGTACGGATTCTGAGACCCTGAATCCTATTCCTTGTATTTTGGAGACATGATGAAATAGGTAGCCGGGAATGTTATTATACGAGATGGAATCCATTCCTTCTTGAGAAAGAAGTAGATAAATAATTCTCTTGAGTGTTGATTCGGTACTTGGATTAGTAAGAGCGCTCTGGTTCATGAATGTGTTTTATGAATCACTATCCATTAGAGAATCAATGGTATTCAAGGATGAAGATATAATTAGAGAGGTTAACGAATTCTACCTAACTCTAATTATGAATTATTTATGGATGATTGATCTATATGCAATGACTATATCAAATGGACACTTCACAGTTTAGAAGTAATTAATGTCTATAATTTCGAGAGTGCAATTTCAAGTTTATAGTGGAGTAACTATTGGAATTAATATAACTAATTAATTAATTAAAGTGTTTAATTAATTATAATTTTATTGGAGCTTGAGATTATAGGTCCATAAGTCCCCGCATCGTTCTTGTAATTCTACCAAACACAAAGGACAAAATGGGAATTTTAGAATTATGAAATTCTAAAATTAAATACTCGAAAAATAATTAATTGAGAATTAATTATTATTTAAATAATGTGATTATTTAAATTTGAATTTGAATATAATCTAAAGTTATCCTTTTGAAATTATTTGATAAGTTGTTCAATTTAGAATTCAAATTAATTTAAGTTTGACTTAAATTCGAATTTGAATTTGAATTAAAATTAGATTACAGGATAAAGGATGAATTCTCTTCTTTCCCTCTCCAGTTTTGGCGCCACACACATGGTTAGGAAACCCTAGGGTGGCCGACCACTTAAGGGATAAGGTGTATGAGATTTTTTGTTCAAAATTCAAATAGGAGATAGAGATTTGTTTTTTTTTTTTGAAGTTTAACTTCTACTCTTTAAATATGAGAATGATAGAAAATTGTGAACATAATTTTAGAAAACATTTTTCAGCCATAATTAGTTAGTGTGGCCGAAATTCTCATTGGAGAGAGAGAGGAAAATTTTTTCTCCTAAAAATTTCACATCGTGCATGCGTTGGTGTTTGTGAAAATTCAAGTGTTTCTGAAACCTCTTTTGTCTCACGTGTGTCCACACACACGTCTACGTGGAATCAAGGAATCGACGTGGAAGACTTAGGTTTTCTAAACATAAAGCTTGGAGCAAGGACTGTTCGTGGACAAAGAACTCAAGTTATCATCCGAGTCGGCTTCCAGGTATTTTTTCTGATTGAGTTCTTGATATATATAAATTAATGTGATTAATTTATTCGTGCATAAATTAATATAATCTATAGAGTATCTCAAAAGTTTTTTCTGAATTTTTTTTTATACACGATCCGCCTCCCCGCCATGCTTCCGCATCCGAATTCGATTCGGCAACCAACAATATTAACCTAAATAGGATTGAAAGACTGGTAAAGGATGGTCCTTTGCGGGAGCTAACAGTTGGTGAGCTTCTGGTATGTGAATCTTATCTGGAAGGTAAAATGACCAAGAGGCCTTTTACAGCGAAAGGAGTAAGAGCTACAGAACCCCTCAGTTGATACATTCAGATGTATGTGGACCGTTAAACGTCCAAGCTAGAGGAGGTTACGAATATTACGTCACCTTTATTGATGACTATTCGAGATATGGTTATGTTTACCTGATGTAACGAAAATCTGAAACTTTTGGAAAGTTTAGAGAATTCTGAGCAGAAGTTGAAAAGCAATTAGGTAAACCAGTTAAGACACTTCGATCAGATCGAAGGGGTGAGTACCTGGACCAAGAGTTCCAGGATTTCTTGATTGAAGAAGGTGTGGTATCCCAATTGACTGCACCCGGTACACCACAACAGAATGGTGTAGCCGAAAAGAGAAATCAGACTTTGCTCGACATGATAAGATCAATGTTGAGTTATTCTTCACTGCCTACTTCATTTTGGGGTTATGCCCTAAAAACCGCTATGTATATTCTAAATCTAGTTCCATCTAAGTCTGTACCTAAGACACCCCTAGAGTTGTGGAATGGTCAAAAACCTAGTTTAAGACACATTGGCATATGAGGGTGTCCAGCACACGTGCTGAGGTAAAAGACCGGGAAGTTAGAACAAAGGTCAAAAGTATGCATCTTCGTGGGAAACCCATAAGGGACAAGAGGAGGACTGTTTTATAGTCAAGCAGATCAAAAGGTGTTTGTATCAACAAATGTCACTTTTCTGGAGCATGACTATATGATAGATTTTAAGCCCAGAAGTAAAATAGTATTGGAAGAGTTACTTTCCGATGAGATCGGACCACAACTGACAAGAGTTGTCAGACCACTCAGAGAAAAGACCACAGTTCCTGATCAGACTCCTAAGGCGCCTCGTCGTAGTGGGAGGGTAAGCATGTTACCCGACCGGTATACCGGGGAAGCCCAAATTGTCACTACTGATGACGGTAAGGAGGATCCATCGACCTTTAAGTATGTGATGGATGATTCTGATAAGGAAGAATGGCAAGCAGCTATGAAACTCGAGATGAAGTCTATGCACTCTAACTCCGTTTGGCAACTTGTAGATCTACTCGAAGGGATAAAACCCATTGGATGCAAGTGGATCTTCAAGAAAAAGAGATGAGCGTATGGAAAAGTAGAGACTTATAAAGCAAGGCTAGTGGCTAAGGGTTATACCCAAAAGGAGGGAGTTGACTATGAGGAAACTTTCTCGCCAGTAACTATGCTTAAGTCCATCCGGATACTCCTGGCCATTGCAGCATATTTTGACTATGAGATATGGCAGATGGATGTCAAGACAACTTTTTTGAATGACTATCTTGAGGAAACTATCTATATGGATAAGCCACAGGGTTACATAGAGGAAGGCCAAAAGCAGAAAGTCTGCAAACTGCAGAGGTCCATTTATGGACTGAAGTAGGCTTCTAGATCATGGAACATCAGGTTTAATGAGGCTATAAAGTCTTATGGATTTGA